TCTGAGCATGCGAAAGACAGTTTAGATGGTGTGTTGTAGGCTGTCAAATGGATTGGGTCATTTTGGGGTTTCTTCTAAAGTCACCTCATCAGCGGGCTCCGATCACGTGGCTATTACACGCCAACTCATCATGCGAATCACTATTGTTGCCCTGTTTGCATGGTTCGTGATTACGGAAGCACTGGCAACTTGCAACATGCAACATGCAACATGCAACATGCAAGTTGTACCAAGTAACATGCAACATGCAACATGCAGTCTAATTTTAGACGGCTTTGTTTGCCGAAGCAGAAGAGAACCAACCTGTTCAACTTGAAAGCTTCACTGTTGATGGGCACTTTGTAGCATCGCGTTGTTCCCCCCGTCCAGGCACGAAAGTTGCCTCGCTATTTTTCACTGCCCACCTGACCTCCTAATCACTTCATGTCATTTGACGACGGATTCACTCCTCAGCTCACCTCAAAACGACGCAAAACAAGTCTGGGCTAAAGCCCCAACTGCTTCCCATAAACAGGATGCTGAGCCCAGAATGAGAGGAAGTGGGAGAAATAATTTGTATGATTGAAGTATGAAAAGGCATTGTCATCGAGACGAGAGGGCGAAGAGATGGGAACAAATTAATAGGTCAATGGTCATGTTGCCATCCAAATGGGCTTACCGGTCGCGAGTATAGACATGTCATGGGCGTTGGCAACCGGTTGATTTGGCCTCTCGAGGTCTGGTCCGATGTTCGCTCCGGTCTTCTCGGTAGCTGAGGCTCGAATTGAAGCTTTGATTTCTCAAATTACGCAACGCATTCGCGTTTCAAGCAACAGTCCATTTGGATGGATGACATTTATTGGTACAGAGACGCCCGAAGATGTTGTTATCTCAAACGCGATAGAGGCGAGGTATAACCCGAAAGAAGTCATCCTCGGTGAAGCCAGACAGTCTCAGGTGCATGTGGTCCATCATATCTCGCGCTGAACCTGCCAATAAGTGGGCGCCAAGGCGATCAGAAAGGGCTGGAGTGTTGGTCAGTCTGGAACAGGACTCCTTTCCTTATCACTTTTTGATGACCCTGCTCTGACTTTACGCCTTGTTTTAATTATTGAGAGTTGGGACTAGCAATTTCATACTCTGGCACATCCACATCCACACACACCCACGCCCACACACACATATATATATATATATATATTAAGAGAGAGAGAGAAAGAATAGGAAACATGCTTACGTTTTCAAGAAAGAACTCCAACTCTGACGGCGTCTGTATGATGGCTGACGAAGAATCAGCCCTCTTTCATCGTTTCGGCCAAACCGAATCGGTCGCCATCTTTTGCTGAGATGGAAGTTAGAATTTCCTCATCAGACAGTTCTATGAGAGACGACAGCTATCAGGAAATGTTATCTTAGATAGCAACTTTCAGGTGGAATGGACTCGCAAAGTGGCCTACTCGAAAAGTGTAAGAGTAAGTTGTTACGTCGGTTTGTGTGAATCCGAACAGGGAGGCATCTGTAGGCATTGTTAACTGGATAGATAGTTGGACAGGTGAATAGATGGATAGATAGATAGATAAAAAAAGTATATTTCCTACAGTGACAGACATTTTCAGAAACAAAAACCATTTCTTCAGAAGTCTCATCAGACGTAAAAATGGTATTATGAGCCAATTGTACCCCACTTTCGCTTGTGATCCTAATGAGACATCGCATGATTTGGTTGGCTAATTTCTGCTTCTCCCAGCATGCTTCGAGATGTGTGAAGTTGAGACTTGTGAGTGGATGTGTGTGTCCTGTGATGTTGATGCTTGTCCTGGGGGGCAGTTGCTAATGCGCCGGCTGAGATGTGAGAATTCTCACAAAACACCCTCCCCGATACGATACAGCAGTCGGTGGTATCCCAGCCTACATCCTTTCACTTCCACCTTCTGTTTAGGAGGTGGGATATTTTGCCGATTTCTTCGACTCCCGAATTTTCTGTTTATGCTCACATCTTGTTGAAGTCCAATCTACCAGTTGTCATGTATTGGAGCTGTGTCCAACTGATGCTGATTCCAGGACCCATAAACTCTAACATGCGGTTTTCTGTTCACCTTGGCTCTTCCCTATGGGTCTTCATATGTGTCTACCGCCCCATGTAATCTCCTACTTACTATGAAAGATTATCATGCACATATTTTTCAGATGGTTGTCGTTTTTCATTTTTTCAAGCGTTATGTGGGCAAGGTTCGAGTAAATGGATAACTGGATTGGCGGATAGA